CCCCAAAACCCCAAAACCCCAAAACCCCAAAACCCCATTACAAGTTCTAGAAGTTGATAGAATATCATAAATTTATTAAAAATGTCTGAAGAAGCACAAGTTCTAAAAGCAAATGCCGCAAAAGCCTTTAAGGATAAGGACTTTGAAAAAGCAATTGAGCTCTTTAAGCAAGCTATTGAACTTACTCCCACTGACCATACTCTTTATGGGAATACATCAGCTGCTTACTTAAATTCGAATAATCCTGAAGAAGCACTCAATTTTTCTGAAAAATGTATCGAAGTGAATCCAGATTGGTCTAAAGGATACCAAAGAAAAGGACAAGCTTTAGCAGGGTTGAACAAGACTGAAGAGGCCAAGGAGGCATTCAACAAAGGATTGGAGCTTGACCCCTGTAACACTCAGATAAAATCCGCGCTTGAGAATCTTTCAAGGCCAAAAGCAGAGGAAGATCCATTCTTCAATGCTGAAAATATGGCGAAGTTACAAGCAGATCCAAAAGTAAGTGGGTTCTTGAAGGACCAAGACTTTATGAACAAGTTGAACCTTTGCAAGCAAAATCCTCAAATGATGATGCAACTGATGCAGATGGACCAGAGGTTCCAAGAAGTCTTCAGAGTAGTAACTGGCGTTGACCTGATGGGCATGCAAGAACAACAATTTCAAAAACAGAAAGAAATGGAAGAACTCAAGAAAAAGAAGGAGGAAGAAGCCGAGCTTAAAAAGAAGCAGGAGGAAGAACAGAAGAAGAAAGAGGCTGAAGATAGCCTCCCTGAAGAGGAAAAGACTAAACTAGCTCTTCAAAAACAAGCAAATGAAGAGAAGGACCTTGGAAATGCTGCTTATAAGGCTAAGGATTTCTCGAAAGCTATTGAGCACTATGAAAAGGCTATCGAGATTTGTCCAAATGAAATCACTTATTACACAAACAAAGCTGCTGTCTACTTCCAAAAGGGAGAATACGACACTTGTATAGAGGAATGTAACAAAGGAATCGAGGTTTCTAAAGAAGGCTACTACGATTACGTAAAGCTAGCCAAAGCCTATGCTAGAAAAGGAAATGCCTTATTCAAGCAGAACAAGTATGATGAGTCTATTGATTGCTACAAAAAGGCTATGCTCGAGCATAATGACTTCTCCTTCAAAGAAGCAATGAGGAAGGTCGAAAAGGCAAAGAAGAAGGCCGAAGAGGAAGCTTATATTGACCCTGAAAAAGCAGAAGAGCACAGAGAAGCAGGAAATAAGTTATTTAAAGAAGGAAACTTCCCAGGTGCAATCAAAGAGTATGATGAAGGGCTTAAAAGAGACCCAAAGAGTGCTAAAATTTACTCAAATAGAGCTTTTGCCTATGTTAAATTGTTGGAATTCCCAACTGCATTAAAGGATGTAGAGAAAGGACTTGAGATCGATCCTAACTTCGTCAAACTATGGATTAGGAAGGCTAATATTCATATGGGGTTGAAAGAGTTCCATAAAGCTCTAGAAGCTTATGATAAGGGATTAAAAATTGACCCAGAGAACCAAGAATGCAAGACTGGAAAGCAGAAAGTAATGGTAGCTATCTCAGCAGGAGCTACAGCTGGAGGAGCTGATGACCAAGAGAGAATGGCTCACGCCATGGCAGATCCTGAAATTCAGGGATTAATGAAGGACTATAGAGTACAATCATTGCTTCAAGATATGCAGACAGATCCAATGGGTGCTCAACAAAAAATGATGGGTGACCCATTCCTAACAGACGCTGTAAATAAACTAATTGCTGCAGGAGTAATTAAAGTTAAGTAGATAAGAATTGTTCTACTAAATTCTTTAATTTCCATCAGGCAATGGAATTAGGGGTTTTGGGGTTTTGGGGTTTTGGGGTTTTGGGG